GCCTGCCAAACTTCACCAGCGGCTTCTACGATAAAAAATAGGAAGAAAAGTTTCAATGAACATGAGACGAGAAATGTCTCCTAAAGAAACTATGGCCCCCTAAAAGAGGGCTCCTGAGGATGATATTTCTTGAGTATTACCGAAACCTCATGTGATGAATAGATGCAATTTGGTACAAGAACTGTATTTTCCATGCCCAATGCAGTGAAAATGAAATCATTTCAAAATTTCACTCAGGAGTGTATAATACAGGGTGGGACTACATTAAATATTGCTCTAAATTTGTTGTATGAATATTTTTCGACAATTCAATCTCGGATTATGAAGATCCATATCAATTCACAAAAAAAAGGTGCTCTTGCTCCGCATCGATCAGATGTATCATTTTCGAGTGAAATCAATTTAAAAATATTGACTCTCACAATCTTACGCCAATTTCCAAATCATAATGGTTATAAAAAAATCAACTACTTTCTTTTCACCAAATAATATCATGAAAGCGTGAAAAATAGGAAACTGATGTTAAAAAAACTACTTCAATTTTTGTGCATTTTTTTTTCATTTTCACTACGACTCATTGCAATTCAATGCATAATATCTGAAATGTAACAATATTTTTGAATCGCTTCTACTCGATAAAGATACATCTGATCGATGCGGAACAAGAGCACTTTTTTTTGTGAAATGGTATGTATGTTCATAATCCAAGATTGAATTGTCAAAAAATATGCATAAAGAAATTCTGAGCAATATTCAATGTAGTCCCACCCTGTATTATACACTCCTGAGTGAAAATTTGAAATGATTTCATTTTCACTGCATTAGGCAAGGAAAGTTTAGTTCTTGTAGCAAATTGCATCTGCTTTTTATCACATGTAATTTCGGAAATACTCAAGAAATATCATCTTCAGACATTTCTCGTCTCATGTTCATTGAAACTTTCCTTCCTATTTTTGATCGTAGAAGCCGCTGGTGAAGTTTGGCAGGATAATTCTGGGACACCCTGTATAAAAGCAAGGCAAGCAAATGATTTATAATAATGATTTATAATAATCTACAAGAAACCAATCTATCACAATTAAAGTTCAACAATTGCAGTTGACTAGTCCTCACATTGAGATGAAGCAGCAAAAAAATCTTTTCCGTCGACCTCGTAGTCGTTAGACTAAGTTTAATGTATATGAAATCGTTCATTAATGACCCGTATTAATGGACGATTTGTCTATTGATGCACGATTGTTTTATAGGCAACCAAACATACACCGCGTGCATTCATTGTTTATGCTATAACTAGCGGAATCTGCATTTAAATCGAAAATATGGATTTCATCGACGATTATCCGATAACGGGTTCACCTTTCCAAGTTTCTGACACGATTTCAATCCCTGTTTTCTAACACAAGGAATTTATTTCCTATGTTGATCATTTCGACAAATGTCAAATGACACTAATGTCAGTAACAAGGCTACTGGGTGATTCTTAGCAGTTTCCGGATGAATGATGAATTCGCGAACCAAGTTTTTTTCATTGCAGGAGAAATGAGAAATATAGTCGACGGAAAAATGTTGTAACCAACTTGTATATTAGAAGGCGATCAATGATCTCGAACATAACGCACTCGCTTCGCTCGCACGTTAAAATAACTCGATCATTAATCGCCCTCGTTAATACACTAGTTGGTTAAATAACTTTTCCGTCGACCTCGTATTAACGACAAAGTTTAATGTATATGAAATCGTTTATTAATGACCCCTATTAATGATCAATTTGTCTATTAATGCACGATTGTTTCATAGGCAACCAAACATACACCGCGTGCATTCATTGTTTATGCAATAACTAGCGGAATCTGCATTTAAATCGAAAATATGGATTTCATCGAAGATTTTCCGTTAACGGGTTCACCTTTCCAAGTTTCTGACACGATTTTAATCCCTGTTTTCTAACACAAGGAATTTTTTTCCTATGTTGATCATTTTGACAAATGTCAAATGACACTAATGTCAGTAACAAGGCTACTGGGTGATTCTTAGCAGTTTCCGGATGGATGATGAATTCGCGAACCAAGTTTTCTTGATTGCAGGAGAAATGAGAAATATAGTCGACGGAAAAATTTTGTAACCAACTTGTATATTAAAAGGCGATTAATGATCTCGAACATTAACGCACTCGCTTCGCTCGCACGTTAAAATAACTCGATCATTAATCGCCCTCATTAATACACTAGTTGGTTAAATAACTATAATGATAAAACACCATTGGGGGGGGGGTTCTGTTCGGTAGAGTGCAATAAGAGTTTCTTGAGGCACCCATATACAATTTAGATTGAATCCAACCGTATTATATTCTCCATACGTAGAATGAGAGCTTCTATTCTATTGTACTCCGCCATTTCGTTTGGGTTGGAAACCTAGCGACATGTTAAATTCGAATACAAAGAATTCTCTGAATCAAACGTACGGTGGATCCATCAATAGGAAGCATCGGAATATAGAATGAATCTTTTTTCATCCAGGGTTTATTATTCTCAGAATGTGAAGTTGACATGAATAGAAATATATTGCATTGAAGACTACAAATGAAATAGTCATTTCCGAGACACTTCGTTGAATTTTCCAAGTTTAATTTTGTTCAACATCCTGGATGACATACAAACTCATAAATGAGATTGCTATAGGTACTTGAGAAAATATATTTCGCGAACAGCTTCCTTTCATAATTAGAAAACTTATAGAAGTAGTGAGAATTACTATAAATGAGTTTTATGTTCTACAACAACAGTAGTTTTGTATATAGGGTGACTGGAATTTGAGTCTCATCATTGATGATAGTGAACCGTAATTTTATGTCGTTTTGAAATTTGAAAAAAACTGAATAATCCTGATTTCATTTTCATCATTTTGTGACTCTATTTGAATAGCTGGAACAATAGTATATCATTATAAAAGTTTCATAACACACTAATTTGTCGCAGGCGTTGTGAAACTGGTGCGAAAATGTCTTATAAAACGTGTATAATATATTATTTTTTCTACTTTGCAGTCATCTGTACTTTTTTATTGAGAAAAAACCCATCGATGAAAACATCGAATATTAGAAAGAAATGAAGAGAGTATAGTGGTTAACAATGAAAAAACATTTGAATGTTCATTTCCAAATTTGCCAGATGGTAGAAGAATTATTCAAATTAACATCATCATTGCAGCGATATAATTTGAAATTGTCGGCTATCAAAATTCGGAATTTCGGAATGACTGAAGAGGAAAACTGCATTGCATATTATTCATTACGCACAAAATTAACCGACCCTGTATCTACTACGGTTCACGAGGTCGAATCGAAGAAACATACAAACTTAGATACTACAGTGATTTGAAGAAAGTTTCAAAACCCAATTTGAGTGACTAGCTTCAAGATCATTGAATGGATCGATTCAAATGAAGTATAATTATGTCTTTGTCGGAGTTGAATTAATTAAATCCATCTGCTGGTATATATAGTGTCAAATTTATGAACAATTGTATGACTATTTTGAAAGAATGAGAGGAAAAAACGAGTTTGTATAGGAATTTGAGGGACCATCCCAATAGAAAGTGAGTGAAAGAGTTCAGAGCAGACAAGAGAAATTATTCCACTAAACTAAATGAAACATTTCAGCCTATAAAATTGTAACAACAGCCCTAAAGTCGAGATAATTTCGTATTTCACCATTTTACTTCATGTTGATGGGGTAGTTCTCATCCCGGTCACTAAATAAAAACTTTTTATTACGCCATTTTGGCAAAATTGGTCGCGACCAATATCCGTTTCCATCAGTGACGATGTGAATGAAAACTGCTGATGTTACTGTGAAAAATTTCGTATGAAATATTCAATCATGAAATAATAACAGCCATGATGTGAATGAAAGGGAATTACTTGAAAGACCCGAATGCATTTTTTTATGTTCTGGTTCCCACGAAAACGGATATCCTGTAATGTTCAGAGAGAACATCGTGAGAACCAAGGAAAATAAGGTAGGAATTGGTGATCTTCTCAAATTTCTGGAGATTATATGCCTCCCTATACACCTCCCTTGGCAATGTGTTCCAGAGCCTCGCTGTTCGTTGGATGATAGAGTCCCTGGAAAGAGATGTTCAGCTCGAAGGGGTGCGAATCCTCAACTCTACGGGGTAATATCGCGGGGACTGCCAAGGGAGGAACAATTGTTGATATTTCAGAAGAGCATCGTTCATGAAAATATCTATGAAACAGAGCCAGATTGCCAACTTCTCTACGGTGTCCCAGAGTTGTAACCACAATTGTGCGGTTGGCTTCTGTTTGTTGACTCCGTTGTTGATTGAAATGATCCTGAATCACCTTGTATAAAAATAATAAACATTATTTGCTACTATATATTTATCCCATCTATCCCGGTCTTTTGGTCTTTCAAGCTTGTCCGAGAAATCGGAAGTTTACTTTCTCAATGTTAGCATAGCTGAAATTTCACTGGATATTATTTGAACAAGGAAGAGGACCCAAAACTAGGCAGAGATATACGATATGAAAGCATCTCTAATATTTCGCATCCTCAGTACACAAATTAGAGTTGAAATTTATGTACACACAGTCTGTGGATGGCTTGTTTCCTAACAGAATCAATTAGAGTGACTTAATATACAGAGACGGTCTATTATTCTATTACTACTGGTGAAAATCAGTATAATATATATGATATATCTAGTTTGAAGTCCACAACTTATGGAAGATAAATTTGATATTTAGAGAATCTGAAGAAAAAATTGAGTACCTACTCGATAGTGCATTGTGTATATTGAAACTGAAAAATCTATTTTTGGGATTGAATTGACTCTGCCGTTACTTGTGAAATTTTTACATTTGAAAAATCTATTTCAACACATTTCACATGATTATGATACAAATATACCTGATTCATTTCATTCGACAGCGTCAAAGTCGAGACAATCCCATATTCCATCATTTCACTCGTTATTGATAGGGTAATCCTACCAGACACCACACCATCCCACAAACTGAAAGACCCATCCCCCTGATACCAAGTGATCCCACTCTCGAACAGATTCATCCCACCTCCAACCAAATGATCCCACACCTGACACCAATGTTTCCGTTGCAGGAATGCTCCGTCTTCCTCTTCGAGAAGCGATGCGCCGAAAAGCTACACAAGCCCAAGCGCAAAGAGACCGTAACAGAGATCCTGCGCAGCTCGGTGCGCCAGCTCGAACGATTCCGCCACCCGAAGATACTCAACGTATTGCACCCGATCGAAGAGTGTGCTGAAACGCTGGCCTTCGCCACGGAACCCATTTACGCCAGTCTGGCCAACATCCTGGCCTTCCAGGAGGGTAGCGGTAACCAGGGGGGAATGAACACGACAGGCGGTCAACAGCCTACTCCGAGGCCGATGCACCCAAGGGAGTACAACTTCCTGGATATCGAGTACAAATATGGGATTCTGCAGGTGAGTACTGCGGAAGCTGAACGAGTTTTGTAGGGACTGCCAAGGGAGGAACAATTGTTGATATTTCAGAAGAGCATCGTCCATGGTAATATCTATAAAATAGAGCCAGATCGCCAACTTTTCTTCCTACCAAGCTTCTTCCTTTTGGTTGGTCGCTATATATTGTCCAGGTACTTGGATCATAGATCCATCATGCTCCAACCTATTGTTTCTCATCTTCAGAGAATCATCACTTTGGGAATAACAAGTATCCCTAACTCCAGGATAGTCGAATGTATGATTATAGTTATGATTCAAGGTATAAATGAATTTCCTTTTACATTAGTCCACTCCAAAGAGTGTATGTGATCCATACGATTGCTTATATGTTTGAGGAGTACTCAGTGTGACAGTTTTTCCACTAGAACCACCACCACCAACCTCATAAGCTAGAAGCTCTACCCATTCACGCCTACCGTCCTTTTATGAGGACTTCAAAACGATACCTGTATTTTTCTGATTCTGCTGACGGTTTGAAGATGTCGACAGTGTCACATTATATTTAGTTGACATATTGAACAAAGTCAATCGTGATCGAAAGGATTTTGTTGAGTTTTTGATCGATAGTGACGGTTAGAAAACGTTGTGTTTCTAGTTATTTTGCAATAGGTGCGACCTATTATACATACATAACAATATTCGCAAATCTTCATATATTTTTCTGATAGTACCCCTTTATCCTGATGTCCTTCTTAAACGATCGCTGTTTTTTACCAAAACTGAAGATAGAAAAATTTTTCATGATTTTTTACCTACTCACTAGACCTTCTATTGATCGATTTCAAGTAAATGATATACAATATCGGAAAAAACCAGTTTGAGGGTCAGATGGATTCATACGAAGCAGCTTGTCGTCTTAGGACTAATGCAACTAAGAGGCTCAATATCAACCATCAAACTGAACCGATTACATTATCTTTACGATACCTTATAGTCTTACCAATTATTGAGCTATTTTCCTCTGTTTCAGATCACAGAAGCCTTGTCTTTTCTCCATTATTCGGGCCACATACTACACAGAAACGTGTGCCCTGCCAGCGTGTTGGTTACCAAGAAAGGAACATGGAAACTGGCGGGACTGGAATTCATAGGTAATCAATCATCGCTACCATAGCAATAAAGATGAGGATTATGTGTATTTCGGTGTTGTTGTCCCGGAAGAAGTTGTAGAATATCACGGTGGGAATGGCATAAACAGTTCACTTGTTGCAGAAACTCTTTATATCGGGTGTTTATACCAGAGTGTCTCCTTATCTCAGTAGGTTGTGATTGCATGAAAATTTAATCATATTTATTTTGAAGTATGCAGATTGACCTTTCACTGCAGTCAACTTCATTTTTTTTTTATGTTCTGGTTCCCACGAAAAGGGATATCCTGTAATGTTCAGAGAACCAAGGTGAATAAGGAAGGAAGGAATTAGTGTTCTTCTCAAATTTCTGGAGGTTATATGCCTCAGGAAACATCTCCCTTGGCAATGTGTTCCAGACCCTCGCTGTTCGTTGGATGAACGAGTCTTTGGAAAGAGATGCTCTGCAGGTCTTCTGAGTGACCACGAAGAGGTGCGAAGTCTCAACTCGACGGGTTAATCTTACGGGGACTGCCAAGGGAGGAACAATTGTTGATATTTCAGAAGAGCATCGTCCATGAAAATATCTATAAAATAGAGGCAGATCACCAACTTTTCTACGGTGTTCCAGAGAAGTGAGTGAGTTTGTGAGCGAGGCATCACCCACGAGACGAATTGCCCTTTTTGGACAGAATCCAACAGTTTCAGGGTATGTTTGGGAGCTGCACTCCGAATATGGGAACAGTATTCCAGGACAGGTCAGATATGTGCCTTATAGATCATAAGCAGCTGACTGGAAGTGGAATAGCTCCTGTCCCGAAACAGAAAACCAAGTTATTGGGATGCACTTTTAGCAATTGATCTCACGTGATTTTCCCAAGAAAGGTTATTGCTGAAGCATTTAACAAAAGTTGACTTGGGAAATAATTAGATCTTAATTTCAAAAAACTAAACATTCTTAATGACTGTGATATGCAGTTTTGAAGATCCCGTTTGGAATGTGATCAGATCTGTAGGATTCCTTATGCCAATGCCATTTATCAACATCACAGAATATCATTTTGAAATAGTCTCTTGCTATCATTTTGATGTTGGAAACAAAAGAATAATGGCAAAAATTTTTTGTTATGAGAATAAGTTTCTTTGCTGTTTTCTATGAATCAGAACGATTGACATCAAGATAAGTAATACGAATTACATATAAATGCTTGAATCGATTGGTGCCATATGATTGGCTAACCGTACAGGGAGATATGAGGTAGAGGAGTGGGAATTATCTGAACTATCCTAAGCCCTACTCACCAATGTCGACTTCTATACAACGAGAGGCTGAAGGATTATCTTTTGTGAAACCGACTTCCCTCGGCGAAATAACTTTCTAAGAATAATGGAAGTTACTGCAGAGTTGGCTACACAATAGATGGCAAGCTCTAAATTGGTGTAGTTATTTAGACGTAATGTCATTGTTACTTTAAGAACACAATTTGCACTGAAATACAAATCTCCCTGTCGATCATTATGCGGAGCATGATAAAATATTTCAAGGGACTGTTTGTCGCAAACAGGGTGGTTAACATTGCGAATTATCACACAATGTGGCCAAAATGGAAACATCTTTGTCTGGAATGTGTTCAACTAGTTATCATGGACTTCAACTACATATCAGCTTTTGTTTTATTTTCAGAACGAATAAACGATGTAGATGGCGTAGAACCTATTCCTTGTCAACCATGGACTTCAAGACTGTCTAAGATGGCTCAACCCAATTTAGATTATACCGGTGAGTTTGTAAAGGAGATTTATATTGGTATATAGATTCCATCGCAGTTTGCCATTCTAGTACTGATACCTATATACTGATGTGCCCGTAAAGTATGGAATGAATTCGATATATCCTAAACTGAGAGCGTTTTCAAAAAATCTTGATGTTCTACATATTGACAGTGAATTTTATTTTACAGGGTGATACACATTGAGGTAATGACAGTATTGGCATTTTTTCTCAATATAACATCCTCTATTTTGTGATCCCCACCTTTTGAGAATCAGCTCGTTTTTATTGATCTAGAAATGTGACAAAATATAGGGTGTTACATTCAAAAGAAATGCCGATGAGGTCATATCCTTAATGTGTATCATCGTGAAATGAAATTTTGTAGTGAAATGTTGAACATCAAAATAAAAAATTTACGTGTATCAAAATTTTTTTGAGAGGCTCTCAGTTTGGGAAATATCAAATTTATTCCATACTTCACGGACACTGTATGATATTTGTCAGATTCTCTCTCTCTCTCCATTGAAATATACCTACCTAAGGAGTTGCAGAGTAGTGTACAATCTAGTGTTTATTTTGTGATATTCTCCGAATATCACTAGCATAATCATCTTCAATCACTCATATTATCCTTCCAGCATTAGCCCCAGAACCTTCAATTACTTACTCCTTTTCAATTCGTGAAGTGGTGCTATCGAGGAAGTTTTCTTGAAGGTATATGAACTACTAGATCACCGAAATGTGATGAAAGAAAAAAGAAATATAACTACCTACATAATATATGAGGAATTAGAACTCATCATAAATCAATTATTGATTTTCTAAATGGGTATTTGAAGCAAATAGTAGTAGATTCGAACTTGAACCTCCCTTTCTAGATTTGACGGATTGTCTAATATTCTGTATCTAGTAAACCGTAAGAGATACAGGGTCGGTTGAATCATGACAAATTTGTGCAATTTCATGCCTAACAAGATGCCGTTTGGAAATATGAAAATCTGGGATAGATTTTCAATAGGATTCATAACAAACACCTTCTTCGAATATGTGCGATAGACCGTTATTGATTCCAGGAGATCGAAAACACTTAGAATCTATAATAAGAAAATACAGAGCCGTATTTAGAAAAACAAAGTTGATGATGATAGCTCGAAGACGAAACCTGATAACACCATGATGTAGAATAAGAAAAGTGGCAATGAAAATGTGCAATTCGTTTCGTCACATCTATTCAAAAAGAGTCATAAAAACAAGAATCAGATTGTGACTATTCCGTTTTCCTTTCAAACATTTTTGGAAGTATTCGGTATTTTTCAAAATTTAAAACGACATTTTGTTAGGCATAAAATTGCGCAACTCTGCCATGATTCAACCGACCCTGTACCTCTTACGGCTTACGAGATCCCAATGGTGAGCCTCGAATTCTAGCCACCCTGTATTTCTACTTTGTATGAAATGAAGAGATCAAAGATATTTGTGGCGAATTGATATCTCTAGAATCGAATCGAATTTGTCCATGAATATAAAGTATCAATAAAGTTCGATAATATGAAGTGACATTGTGAGGGGATGCCATCGACAAAAAACCTACCTAGATGGTCGCATCTGATCAAGCAAATGACTCAACCCCATTGTTCGTATAGGTATGTCTCCATGTGCTATCATAGACAATGGCGTTTCGAGCGTTGTGAAATAAATTAGAATGTATTAGAGACCTACTGAATCGTGCTGTGAACGTATTCATCATGACAGACCAACTCATCGATAGTATCCGTATACGTTTTCGCATCTCTGGCCTGTATTTCGGTGAAAATGAACCGCTGCCGGAAATAACTGCCACCGGAGTACGAAATAGATAATGTCATATCAAACAGTTTCGAGAGGGAAAGATATATTATGTTTCGGAGTATATAGCACAGTTCTGGTAGTAGCGTCTTTTGTCTTTGTGCTTTCACATATAATGCCACCCAATCTACTTCAGATAAAAAGAGAGAAAAAATTTATTTGTCGCTGTTATCAGTGTTCTCTTTTGAAATTAGATTAGGGAGAATCTAGAGAGGATGTTCTTCAATATTTCTCACCTCACAACTGTTTATTTTCGAATGAATTCACCACAAATGGCGCCCGAGCAGCGACAATTCTGTTGATGATTCTCAAAAATAAACCAGTCACATCACACATCACAAAACACTAGTCAGTCTATGATAAATGTTTCAGTATTCTTTACATGAATATTGTGTGTGCTGGGAAGATAAGGATGGCTGTATAACTTCAGATGTTTCGATTCTCATTCCATGATGGAGTATTGTTTATGATGGTACCAAACATAGATATTGTGAGAATGATGGTGCCAGAAATTGATATTTCGGACGTATTCCCAAGAATTTATAACCTCAAAAAATTAGAAAAAAATCCAACACCGTATCCTCCATGAGTAAGCACAATGTTCTTCGAACATTATAGGAATTTCCTTTTCATCACAAAAGGTACACCTCAACAGCTTCTCAACATCTACAAAACACAGTTTTAGGATACTGTTCTCATTTATGGGGTTCAGCACTCAGACATACGCTAATGCTCTTAGATTCCATCTAGAGAAGAGCCTTTCGCCTGGTGGGTGATGCCACACTCACTAATTCTTTGACCGTAGGAAAGTCGGTGACCTTTCACTTTTCCATTGAGACTTCCACGGGAATTGGTCCTCAGAAATCTCTGTCATAATTCCATCACTAGCAATACCAGTTAGACGAACTCGATAGGCCTATTCAGCACACCCCCTCGTCTTTAACCTCGAAAAATGTCGAACAAGACTCTACCAAAACTCGTTCGCCTATAAAATAGAAGTATTCCCTAGGTACGCACCATGTTCCACCAACGTAATAGGAATTTCTTTTTGTGCGCTTCAAGAGATAAAAAACATGAAAAGGAATATCTCCTTTCAAATATTGTCGTGTTGAACAGGAAGTTCTCTGTCCAATAATTACATTGATGAGTACGTCAGAATAACGCATATTCCATGAAATTTCACAGCTTCATGTTCAGTAATTGAGAGACAATTTCGTTAGTTTTTCATTGTTTGGATAGAGCTACATAAAACTGAACTTCATTTAAACATGGTCGTTTTTCTTTGACAGCCTATTACGGTAGACGCTGATGTTAACCCTTAATTAAGAGAAATGGGGATCGAAATTCTGCTGCGGTAGCGTATACGGCCATATAGAAAACTTGTTTGGAAATGAGGAGCTTTGCTAGGCTAAACTCTTCCGGCAACTTCGGAGAACACCGTTGTTCCGAAGTTAAAATGACTCTGTACTACTCAGGAAGTAATAATTATAATAATTGCACCAATTTTTGTGAATCTTCGAGTCTAGCATAAGGAAAGTTCAAATTTTGTATCTCATTAACAGAAAATACGTGAAATATAACAGAGAATGAAGGTGTCTGCTAGAATAAAGGATATATGAGATTTTATCTCAGAACTCCCCTTGCTCATCTACTAACGCATAGTATGGTTGAGCTGATATTTTATATTTTCACTGATGAAAAGTCACAGCCGTGATAGTTTTTAGATGTCATTATAATGTGATCTACTGATTGGTATTTCAATTCTTTCAACTGTGCTCTCACGGATGTTCTTGTAAAAATATTCCAATGCATATTGAGATGTTCATTCGTTCGTTCGAATCCGAGAGGGCGAGAAATTCTTGCTCGTATAATTCCATTCGATTCCAGACCGAGACGACAAATCTGATGTTCTCGAATGGCTGAGCAACTTGCCTCCGACAATATAAATATTCAACCGGTTTATTTTTCCATCAGTACTATGGCGCAGGTGATCCATTCGTCTCAAAAGAAACTGCTCCGTTTGAAATTCGATGTGAATAAACATTATGTTCGGAAGAAGACTCCTGGGTCTTTTCAGGGAATTTCAGAAAAATCTCGTGATAAGTGACTCTACTCCAAGATAATTTTGAGAACTTCCCAAAGGATAAAATTTCCACGAAAATATGCGACCAAAAATACTTAAGAAAACTAGGTCGTGTAATTTGATTGAACCGTCGAGAATAGGTTTAATTTTTTGAATAAGTTACAACATTCTCATGATCGGGCGCCATTTGTAGCACTCTTTCTGATATAAATGTCCCTATGGTGATTTTCGGATTAAGATCTCTTCAATATATTTCGAACTACGACCTCACTAGTCTGTTCTGGTGTTTTGAAACCATATTTTCAATTTTACAGATATTGAACTCCAAGACCTCAAAAATAGAGAGTTATAGGCATGAATATAATTTATAAATATTCTTGCTGAATTCCTATAGATTTTCATCAGGTAACGGACGAATCAATCAATTATTCAGAACAAATAATTATTGAAATCGGCAAAATAAAACTATCAGATTGCAAGAAGACACTGACCCCATATAGTCAGTAGAGTAATTACATTTTGCCAGATAATGAAATTCATTTTTGAATGATGTATCCACTTTTAACTATTTAATAAAGATACTGAACATATGAGCTTGATTTTCTGATATTTTTATGTCTTTCGCGAGTCACCTGATAGAAATCCCGAAATCAACCAACTTGTTGGAATTCCAAGTCGATTGTGCCTATTTGAAAGGGATCTGATTTGATAGACCGACACGAGACACGAGATTGTGATGGATCTCCCTCATATCAGGATCCATTGTGGGGATATGGAGGTTCAATAGAAAGCGAAGGAACTTTCAAACCTCTTTAGACATGAACGCCGAATTGAAAAATTGGAAAATAACTTGTGAATTTGTTCGATCAATTGGTGAGATGCGCCTGTAGGATACGATAATGGATATTGACGGAGATTGAATCTAGTGTATCCGAATTCCACCGAAATTTATCGTCAGCTGATGCCTCAAGCCTAGATCAGGAAATAATTCATCGCATTTGTCGTCGGAATGAGCTCGAGGGAGATTTGGGGGCTATTTAAAAACTTTGTTTGTTATTCATTATTCCAAATTTTTGGGATTTTCTCTCCTCGTTTCTATAAAATAAAAATATGAATATTATTTCAATATACGTGTAGTAAGGACAAATCAGATGATTTGCCCCAAAATGTCACTGAGTTTAAAGAATTTTCCTATCAGAGAGCCTAAAAGAAAAATTCACTAGCTTGTCAGTGACAATTTGTATTGAAAAATTTTTGGAGAAGAGAAATAAAGGTATATAGAAAAAATATTAAATTTTCACTTATCTTTGGACGTTTCGGGACCGATTCTGCTCCCGTTTTCAACATAAAGAGATTTTTTCAATTGCGAATATAATATGTCTTGAAGCTTTTCAGTTTTCAATGACAATTGGTGACGTTGGCAATCAAAGGAGTTACAGGATGTTTCCATTAATTAATCTTGAATTTACCATTTTCATGTTCAGATTTTAATAGTGAATACCATGTTCTGTCTATATCAACTGAACAAGAAGCAATGCTATTGTCTCCGTTCAGAAGAATGCAAGCAGATTCCTTGATTTTTCTCTTCTGGTTGTTATCTTTTTTTCCAATGATTTTAATATTATTCCACTCTGCCATATGTTGTCCGTCTTTAGTAAGGATATGTTCAGCTAGTTTCGATTTATCGATGTTTTTTTTCTTTATATTGTACTCATGTTCCTTCGTCCTTACTGAAAGAGGTCTCTTGGTTTCACCTGTATAAAACTTTCCACAAACACAAGGTATACTGTAAATAAAATTTTTTGACGATTGTTCTTCATTTTTCGGCTTTGTTCGATTAGAATTGATCTCATTGTATTTTCAGTTTTGAACACAGTTTTCACTTGAAATTTATCACCAACACGTTTAATTTTTTCAGATATGCCGAGAATGTATAGTATTATATTTGTCGTTATTGATGGTTGATCTTGTTTTGGTTGACCCTGTTTGTTTTCAATTTGATGAATCGTCCTATCGACAAAATTCTTTGGATAGGAATTCAGTTGGAGAACATTTTTAATGTGGTGGACTTCGTTATTGAAAATTTGTTGGTCAGATGATATTGATTTGGCACTTTCATGGAGTGATTTGATTATTCCTTTCTTAATACTGTTCTGATGATTTGATTGAAAGTTTGAGTATCTGTTAGTATGGGTCTTTTTACGATATACACTCGTTACAAAGATGTTATTTGATTTTTCAATAAGAACATCTAGAAACGGTAATTGGTTATTAGATTCAATTTCCAAAGTGAATTTTATTGTAGGTTCGGCATTGTTCACATAATCCAGTTGATATAGACAGAACATGGTATTCACTACTAAAATCTGAACATGAAAATGGTAAATTCAAGATTAATTAATGAAAACATCCTGTAACTCCTTTGATTGCCAACGTCACCAATTGTCATTGAAAACTGAAAAGCTTCAAGACATATTATACGACTTCGCAATTGAAAAAATCTCTTCATGTTGAAAACGGGAGCAGAATCGGTCCCGAAACGTCCAAAGATAAGTGAAAATTTTATATTTTTTCTATATACCTTCATTTCTCTTCTCCAAAAATTTTTCAATACAAATTGTCACTGACAAGCTAGTGAATTTTTCTTTTAGGCTCTCTGATAGGAAAATTCTTTAAACTCAGTGACATTTTGGGGCAAATCATCTGATTTGTCCTTACTACACGTATATTGAAATAATATTCATATTTTTATTTTATAGAAACGAGGAGAAAATCCCAAAAATTTGGAATAATGAATGTACCACCTCCTCGATTAACCTACAGACAGTATCTGTTTGTTATGTATCAACAGCTATGAAGTCTCACCATGAGAGCAGTCACTATAATCTTCGGATAGAAGTGCCTGAATTTTACCCTCACATATTGACTCATAATTTCTGTGTACCGTCGATGTTCTGATTATTTTGTAATGCGGACAATATGAATAATATTATTATTATTATTATAAACCGACATAAAAATGTTGGGGTAGTGAAAAGGAAACTGAATTCTGAGTAATGTCTCCTAATATCCTGGAAAAATGATCCTTGGCTACAGATCAAATATCTCCTCGATTAAGTCCTGTATAACGGATAACGTCCATCCGGCCTTTGTATTAACAACGGCGAAACGTCAATCTGGATACCTGTACAAACAAAAGAGTGCTATTAGGTTTCCCTGCTCTCCGAATTTCCGAATCTACAACATCAGAAGGATCACTGGAGAGCCCCTATATCAGAAAGTCGACAGTCGGCAAAGGACTTATTGGGATCGGTCAATACGTGTGATCCTTTGAAGTGGACAGCAAAAAACGATGAAGAGACATGAAGATACCGATAACGGAAATGGTGGAAACCGTATTAGCAAATGAATCTATACCGCTTGAAAATAATGACACTTTACTTTAGTAGTGCCCAAATCTTCCACAAATTCACGAAGGAATCATCTAGTTATTGTTTTTGTATGTTCGCAGCTCCAGAAACACAGACACAATCAGTGTGCAGCATCTTGAGTGACATGTTCTCATTGGGTATGGTGATATGCGCCATTTTCAATCATGGGAGGCCTCTCATCCAGGCAGCCAACTCAACATCGGCGTACCTCAAACAGCTCGAACTGGTGAGTCAATTCTTAGTTTAAACTTCTACATCTCTAGTTGTATATTCATCTCTCTCTCTCCTCTTACACTACCTCTGTCGTTTTCTCTCTCTCTCTCTCTCTGTTTCTCTCTCTTCTCTCTCACAGTGATCGGAATTTCTCAAATATAATTAGAGATACTCTGTATCAACTGATTTGCATTGAGCTCTTGGTGTTTCCTAGAATGAATTGGGATAGACATTATGATTGTTGACTTTAGCTCGAATAAAGATGGTGCTTTCATTCATGGGTGTATAAAAAATTGTCTGGCAACTGGGAAGAGATGCTCTCGATCCAAAGTTGAATAGGGGAAAGGTTCTTGCGAGAATCAAGTGCTATTTGTTTAGGAAGTTTTGTGGACCTGTACTTGATGTGTATGGTGATTTGTCGCTCAGTTTGACTGCAGCTTTGCGGTGGTTTTCCAGTGAGTTGCATGAATAAAATATGTAGAAGACGAGACGAACAAATTAGGTTAGAAGGTTTCTGACGAATACTCACATGAGGATGCTGTATCATACTTTTTACATCATAAGTCATTCTGTGAGAAAATCAAGATTGACTTCATCTCATTGGATAGCTAGGATTCTTTTATTGACAGAAAATGTATAGGTGGCTTTATGGTTGGAGTGAAGAATGATACCTCCAACTGGATATTATGGAAATTATACTGTTCATATTGCGAAAAAAAATTCAACATCACCTCTGCGTGTGTTTAATCCATCAGACTTTCCTGACGTAGGTATTGAAATAACGCATAGAGGAAAATTAATAATATCCAAACTCATAAATATCCATTACGATGGAATAGGAAAACTCATTTTTAAGCGAATTAAAGAAAGTAATGAATCGAAATAGAGTGAGAATATTTAATAAATGTATTGGAAAGAAAATAGAATATTCATGAACCTGTTCCACAATATCTATATCTACTAAACAATGGAGAAAGTATCACTCGAACAATCATTATTTACAGGGTGATTGTTTATATTATACTCAATAGCTATCTCAGTTTATTAGTATCGTAAATCAGAAAATACTACATAAACTGATTTTATTTTTTTAATGAAACTCCCTGTATTTTTTTATTCTTATCGATAGAGCTCTTCCTTCTGTATTCAAGGAATATATATTTATTGTAGAAATACCTGTCAAAATTAAAATATTCTTCCATGTTACATAGTTTGATTTAATAATGAATCACAGTTTTTCATCCTTATGTAAATAAACTTAGCTACTACCATGTTCCTGTCACCAGTTACAGAAACTTGGCTGATGATAGGCTTATCATAGGCTCGAAACATGTTTCCCAATTGAAACATAACTATGTTCAACTATTAAATGTCGTGGAGGTTATTTTGAGATTCAACTCTTCCTTCTCAAAACATCGATTCATGCTGAAGCATTAAACCGTCTTCTCATAACTTTGAATCGAATCGATCTTCTTTGTATTCGGAAATTGACAGAGAATCATTAACAATGCTGATGAAAAGAGGAAGTAAACCTCCGAAAGGCATCAATTTCAATGTCATTAATATTCTAGAAGGCGGCTGAGCTGAATACCTCTTGCAAGTTCTGACAGGCCTCCAGCTACACCTGGAGGCACATTTCTTATTCATATATAGGAATTGCAAAATCAGTAGCGGCATTCACACGATTCTTCCTTTTTTTCACTAATTGACCCGGCAAACGTTGTTTTGCTATATATACATTATTTCTTGAAAATATTTTTCTCAGTGAAATATTTGACAACACACTTTTATTATTTTATTTATTTAACCTTGAAACACTCTACCGAAACTCGTTTGCCTGTAGATGCCAATGAAAGTATTCCCAAATTCCCAAATTTAAAAAAAAATCGAACACCTACCTCCTCTCCCTATCCTCTTTAGGTACGAACAATGTTTCACGAACATTATAGGAAGACATCCATTTCGATGCTTGGTATTACTATCAGCAACAACCTTGGCTTTCTGTTTCGGGCCAGGAGCTATTTCACTTCCAGTCAGCTGCTCATGATCTATAAGGCACAGATCCGACCTGTTCTGGAATACTGTTCCCATATTTGGAGTGCAGCACCCAAACATACCCTGAAACTGTTGGATTCTGTCCAAAAAAGGGCAATTCGTCTCGTGGGTGATGCCTCGCTCACAAACTCACTCACTTCTCTGGAACACCGAAGAAAAGTTGGCGATCTGGCTCTTTTTTATAAATATTTTTATGGACGATGCTCTCCTGAAATATCAAGAATTGTTCCTCTCTGGCAGTCCCCACGAGATTAACCCGTCGAGTTGAGGCTTCGCACCCCTTCGTGGTCATTTTGGAGACCTGCAGAACATCTCTTTCCAAAGACTCGTTCATCCAACGAATAGCGAGGCTCTGGAACACATTGCCAAGGAAGGTGTTCCCCGAGGCATATAACCTCCAGAAATTCAAGAAGAACACCAATCCCTACCCCATTTTCCTTGGTTCTCACGATGTTCTCTGAACATTACAGGATATTTCTTTTCGTGGGAACCAGAACATAAAAAAAGAGATAAAAAATGCAACACCTTGTGTGTCATTTCATTATCGAATTCTGCATCATTTTCTGAATCCAATGATACCACAAAAGTGACATTTTAAACTTGAATATGGTTTTCATTTCATTATTGGTTTTCCATCCGAGTGTGCCATGGCTATTCTGAGCGAGTCTGATGTATACTTATATCGACAGGTGTAATGCTGAAAAAAATTGATTGAATCTTGTCAAAAATGTCAAATTTCTTGATTCATCACCAAATTAAGTTCATCGAAATGGTTTGGTGTTCCATAATCCTGTTAAATTGTCATGTCTCGGATTGAATAATTTTTGTCCTCTAACCTCACTAGAAATTCAGCAATACGTTACACAAATAGGAAAATTCAACCCAGATCACCTAGATAATAATTGACGTATCATTGTCATATTTTGCGGGAAATGTAGATACTTCACACCCTATGTGAAATAAACTAACAGAGGCGTACGACAGGAGCAAGTAACGGATTGATCTTTTCCAAATTCAACGCCACTGGCGGAATGGGGAAGACCACTGAGAGAAGAAATCCGTGCAAACCTCTTTCAATCGACGAAAAATGATTTACGTTTGATGTACAATCAATATTATGAGTTAAAGTTGAAGGGAATCGAATCTATATCTTTTTGAAATCAGCATATTTCATTCGATATTTCAAACAGCCAAATATGATGGTGGAGTCGTGACGTATTAGTCCCGAACTGTAGTTATCTCTCTCTGATAAATTGTCATTCTGCAGTGTTGCAGCGTGATTGGTCATTTCAAGGACAATAGGCGTGTTGGGAATAAGACGTCGCACCAGAAACACCAATGAATTGACAAAATTTCAAATGGCGCAGGAATTGTGTGTTTTGAAATGGACAATTCTAATTCATTTTTTTCATCGTCTTAGCATGAATGACAGAATTCAAAATTAATTCGCTGGTAGTTTTTCAGTATAGAGTTCACGATAATGTCATTTTAAAAAATCAGTGGTCTCCCCCATTGCCATTTCATCACATTTTTTCCATAAATTTCGTACTCTTTCTTCATAGCGATGAAGTCATTGTTCGAGATATTTCAAGTTAAACGTGAAGCTGCGCAATTATTCTGATTTTACACCAATATGCCTAGAGGCCTACATTTAGATGAGTCTCATTTAGTAGAAAACTGATGAAAATATTCCACCGTCAATGGCATCTATTTATATCTTGTCGATCCAGAAACTTTTATCTGCACCTTTTGCCCGAATGAATTGATGGCTTCTGGAGAATTACGGTTAAAAAACTTTTCGTTTCAGTTTCAAAAGGTGGAAGCGAAGAAAACCTCATTTCCATCAGCCTCTGCGAAAATGCAACCGTCTCGCATTTGTTTTTTCCTCTAATATTTGCAGATATTGAAGATCCGTCTGCTTCGACCGAAAATTAATTGATATTAAATTATCTGTCTCGAACGAAAACGGGATTTTAATCTCCGTGAAGTCGAGAATTCTCGCTAGCGTCATAAATGTAACTTTACGGAGTTGAAAATAATTGCATTCGTGACCATGAACTTCAATTTTATATCAGGATCACCACAGAGTCAATCCCATAATGAAAATCTTAGCGAGACGAAATTAATCTAGGGAAAATGTCATGCCTACTTACATATTTCCTAATTGAATGTAATTCCTTCGCTGTTTACATGCTGAAACTTCAATATAAAGTAATCATTCCGGAAGGTTCAAGGATGAGGTCCACCAGTAAAATTTCGGAGTTATCAATATCAAAACGTTATTCATTCCAGTTATGTTTATTGTTTCAGTTGGAAGATCAAGTTCATAATATAATACATAGGATTCCTGTGCCTCTTCAAGAAGCAACAGTTCGACTTCTGAGTAAGGACACTAGACAACGACCTACTGCTCAGTTGCTCACCCTCATCAAATTCTTTAGGTAAGAGTAGAAAACTGGATGGCGTTTCCTCATCAATTCTAGAAATAGAGTATGGAAATAAAAGAACGATAGAAGCTTTTGTAGCGTGTCTTCAGTCCTGACAATAGGGAAAAAGCATAGTTCAGAAATGAACTATTGATTAGAGATTGTTAGAAGTCCCAACCTCTTACCCAGCGAGCACAAAAACATCTCAGAGATGTTAAAAGTACGAGATTTCGAGACATTGAACCTCCACTGCGATGTTCTGTTCACACATGAATAGAACTATTATAGAACAGCCAATGTCCGCCGCAGGCGGCAATTATCGAGATGTCCTTCATATGTCACAAAACTACCTTCTCCCTAGTTCTTTTTAATGCCTTTTCATGGACACAACAAAACATTTTCAACGCGTCTTGCGCACATTGAATCGCTGTAAAAAAACCATTTTCGAGGTACTTTTCTGAAGCCTTTTGTCAAAATGAACTTTTGCATTAGGATTCCATTTCCCTTGAATGAAAAAATGCATTAAAAATAGATTGAACATATTTTCTTGATATGAAATTACCTTCTTAATCGGTTTCTGAGTAGTGCTTACTACACACGCAGACATATAATTGGAAATAGGTTTCCCAATTTTTGAAATGTTCTCCACAATGCATAATTTTGCAACTGCGGAGAAGCTGTGTATTGATAAATTCGTACTTTTATATATTGATTACACTGAGGCACCGAACAACACATCTTGCATCTGATGGTCATTATTACAAACAAAGTAAGTCTTCTAACACAATAAACTCCACCAAATTCATTTCTGTTCGTTAGCAACGTGATGTAAGCGTGACACGCTGCAAACGCGAATGCCAATTGCGAAAAAGAAGAACAAAATCGAAAACAAATCAGAATTCATCGTATTGTGACGTAAGCATGAGACGTTGTGGTGGGGCAAACAAAGAAAGGGCACAAAAGAACAAAAACAATACTTTCAATATCCTTCTAAGACCTCTTTGGGAAGTGCATATTACGCCTCAAAAAAACATCCTCATGCCTACATTTCTAAAACATCCCAGGGATACCTCTCAGTAGGCAAACAAAGAAATGCCACAGGAGAACAAAAACAATACTTCAATATCCTTCAAAGACCTCTTTGGTCAGTGCATATTACGTCTCAAAATAACATCTTCATGCCAACATTTTCAAAACATCCCAAAACATCCCAGGGATGTTTGTGCTCGCTGGGTACCCACCATGAAGTATCTATAGCACTAGACACAACTCATGAATTTGGTCCTTGTTCAGATAACTCTCATTTCTACCCCTTCTAGGGAGAGAACTTAGGAAATATTGCTTCAGTACGACTAATGAGCGAAACAGCTCTCTAGTATCTGACAAATTAACATTATACCTGTATTCACGTTTCGTGGTGGAATTTTGTGTGATATAGCTGACGGGCCGTTCAATTTAGCATCCCCCTATTTGTTGCAGAAACAGCGGATAGTTTATCAATCACCCCATTAGAAACCCAACTTCTGACCCTAATTTGACCTTAATCGAACGCAGGTAGTGTTCGTCTTTGTGAAATGAGATCTCGATAATTGGTTTCTGCAATAAATTTAATAGAGACAAATTAATTGAATTTCGAGAGAATATTCCACGGAAAACTTTGCAAAGGACCTGGAAGATGATCAGAGTAAGCAATTTCTCAAGATGTCTTCTAAAGTCAATTTGTGTATTTCAGATGATTGAGTCGCTATATTATATACGCCTCAATATTTCGAAATAATTGTTCCTTCATATGCTGTGTCCTCTCATTTGCAATAAAAGGATATTTGATTAATATCCCCTACAACACTTTTCGAAATTTGATATTCCTATTTTCATGATGCCTGAACAAGTATTTGATTTGTTGTAAATGATGATACCGAAGGTATATGGAGGTTATAGAAGTTTGAAGACAAATACGAATTTGCTATTCAAATAACCATTTTTTCATGTTGAAAACGTTAGCAGATTCGTTCCCGAAACGTCCAAGGCTAAGTGAAAATTTTATATATAAGCTAGTGAATTTTCCTTCTAGACTCTCTAGGAAAATTCTTCAAACGCAGTGACATTTTGGGGCAAATCATCTGATTTGTCCTTACTACACGTATATTGAAATAATATTCATATTTTTATTTTAATGGAATCTTATGGCTTGCCTCCCCAGTTATGTTCTCTGCTAGCTAGTTTTCTCTCAAACAAATATCTTCATGTAGTGGTCGACGGAGTTTCATCTGACTCTCTCATCATAAATGCTGGTGTTTCGCAAGGATCAATTCAAGCACCAACACTATTTCTACTCCATATCAATGATTTGTTAGAAGGAACTTCATGTCCAGTACACAGCTTCGCGGATGATAGTACCCTCCATACCACCTCCTCTTCCAGGGCTCCAATTCCAGCCAGGGAAATCAGAAACGAGGTAGAAATGTTGACAACATAAATGGGGATCCAATAACTTGGTAGATTTCAATGCGAACAAAACACAAGCTTATCAGGAGTAACCATACCTTTGAAGACATCCATTTCGATGCTTGGTATTACTATCAGCAAAAAAATAATTACGTGAGATCAATTGCTAAAAGGGCATCCCGAAAACTTGGTTTTCTGTTTCGGGCCAGGAGCTATTTCACTTCCAGTAAGCTGCTTGTAACAAATCAATGTCGCCGCCCATGCTCTCTTTTAAATATAATAATAATTATCAAATATTCTTCGGGAGGCTAGGCAACCAACTATTCATTCACACAGATTCAAAATCCGTGTGCGCGCCTAGGTTCAGTTGTTGTGGAGAGGGGATTTTCTGAAATGGCTTGCGCTGGTCATTTCACTCTCGAACGGGCAGTTTTCTCAACCAAGTGAATAATAATTTAACATCCACGTTGATCGAACCCAAATTCTGTGTTTTTGGTTTCCTATGTGCCCAATGTTCCTCTGGAACATCTTGGCCTGTGCCTGCATATGATATTTAGGTGGGTAAAACTCTTTTATATTATTTTATGATTTGTTGACCGACCTTTCAGGTCACATGTTAGTTGTACCTACTTTTCTTTGCTCCTTTGTAATTTGATCGCCCATTATATCAAGTGATAGACTGTCCTGGTGCTCATTAGTGCATATGATATTTAGGTTTTCGACGTCCCTCTCAACCCGAGATCTTGGTGAACTTTTGAAGTGAATAAATAGTCTCCTGAACCATCCATGTTTTAATCAGTAAACCCACCAAACCCCTGAGACCGTTACAACTTGGCGACCATCGAGGAGCTGATTGAAGAATGGTTCTGGAGAAGTCTCCCGTGGGACCAACAGGGTATTTTTTCCGAGCACGCAACGACCGGCGAGCTGAAACACACGGTATGCGGCCAGCAGGAGAGAACCTCCTACCTCCTGAGCAGCGTCCCGAAGACAACGCGACTTACGCGACCTCGGCGAACATCTCCGGGAGCGTCGCGACGCCTCCAGCAACGACGTCACCACCCGGCGCCGGACCAGCAGCTGCAGCCGCAGTCACAGCGGTGTCATCGGATAGCTCGACAGGATGCATCAGTAGGACTGGTGCAAGGTCATCTTTTCAAAATCCAGGTTTGAATACGTATCAGGAAAATTTAATTAATAAAGACAGTGTTGATAATCATTTTCCTATCCATGTAAACACAAATTGTGTTCCTAATTTGCGGTCAAATGAGAGACCCACTTTTTATTCTAATTGTGATAAAAACCAGGCAGATAAGGAATCCAACAGAAATTCGTTTTTGCCCACAGCTGGTTCGTTCGCGAACCCAAGTGAATATACACTGCCTGCCACAAATTCAGTACCTCCAAATTATTCTCAAATTTATCCGGAAAATACTTTTTTGTATAGAAATAATTTTGATCATGTTCCAAATTTTCAGTTTTCAGATAATAGATATGTAAATCGTAACTATAATAGTCAGTTGTCACATAACAATACTTCAAATGTGAACCTACCTAATAGTTCATGTCAAAATATGCGATATCCACGTAACCATCAGGGACAGTGTAGTGTAGCAAATAGTAATCCTAATATTATAAATCACAATCCACCTTCACTAGTGCAAAATGTGCCTAGTAATAATAGAATTTTTAATAATGTATCTGATTTGAGAGATGTACGAGTTTTACCCACTTTTGATAACGAAGGGTTACACCCTGTTGATTTCTTGAATAACATCGAGGCTTGTTTCGACACTAATAGCGTCCCCTTTAATCAGTTGAGATTTCTTATTGGTAATTTGTTTGAGAAAACTGCAAAAACCTGGTTTGATGTTTATAGCTACATGTTCAATTCGTATGCTGATTTTAAATGTTATTTTTTAGAACAATTTTGGGGTGATACTTTGCAACTGGGGGTTAAATTGAGATTAGAATCAGGGAAATTCCAAGAAGGTTCAGGATCTCTAGTTGATTATTTCAATTCCAAAATATCCCTAGCACGTCACTTAAATCCTCCCTATACTGAACAACAACTTATTTCAGTTATTGCAAGGCACTTTCCCCCAACTATTTCGGCCAGTTTATTAGGCGCTGATAATTTATTACTAGCGGTAAGTAGACTGAGACAGGCCGATTACTATTTTGATTCGCAAAGTTCTGTCCAACCTTTTCACCCCAGAAGAGATACAAATCATTTTGGGCGAAATCAAAGTGGAAATAGAGGTTTTCGAAATCAAAGTAGCACGGGAAATCATTCCGGATTCAATAATGATAGAAATCACGCGAGTAACAATACTGGCGTAAAGCAAATTTCAGCGCTCGAACTACAGGGTGATTCGATGAATGAGGCAATAACCGGGTCGGGAAACGAGTTATTACCCCACATGTAAGTCCGAGTGTGGGGGCGGTTTTAAAAAGGGCATCACCTAACTTTTTTGTTAATAATAATCCGAAGGAGCAACTTTTGGAAGAATGCGATTTTGAGCAGCATTTTCTTGATACGAGGTCTCCCGTGATATTAATAACTCTGT